TTAAGTGAATAAAAAGATGACTTTGCAAAGTAGCACAAGAAGTACCTGTTTTGCTTTTTTTTTTTTTTTTACAAAATTTTACACCAGTTTTTGTGAATGTTAGACATTGTGACTACCAATTTCTACTTTTCCTCCACTCCAATGGTGATAGTGACAATAGTCTAGGGAGTATCAAAATCCCATTTATCCACTCTTGAAAATAAATCTCAGGCTTTTAAATTTCTCAGGCATCTTTGAAAATATCAGTCATCCTTCTCATGCTCTTTTATCCTCCTTTGGTTACTCAAGATCCTCCAATTGTTCAAAACAAGCATATTCACAGTACAGCATATACAATTGTTTTACTTTCTTGTCTGTATTTCCCAGTTGCCAAACTGAGGTATATACAGGATAAATACAGTGCATGGATATATATATATATATATAAAAATATATGGATTCACATATTCTCTGTAATATATACAGATAATACTGAAGAAAAGTATTCAACCAGGTTGCAGTAGACATCAAAGCAGTACTTGTCTAAGGAGAGACAAGTTAAAATCTAAATTCATAGCTCAGTGGAGAGCATATGACTCTATAGTGGAGATTACGACTGATAAATTTAGAGTGCCCTAAAGATTTTTAAATACTTTGTATTTACCCAAAATAAAGATCTTACTGGGTTTAGGACAGAGAGTTTCTTCTTCCAAGAAGAGACATTATCAGCAGATATTGGATAGCTGAAGTGGAACATTGGCACTGGCACAAAGACCTCACTTGTTTGATAGGCAGGTTCCACAGCATGTTGAGCCAAATTTTTCTGGTCTTAAAGTACCTCTTAAGAATTCCCCATCTGTTAAAGGGTGGTGAGGTTAAAAAGGGATAGGGCTTGTCAACTTGTGAACTGCTTTGACAGTGTACATCAGTTTATCCACTGATAACCACCAAAGACTCTTAAAAATGTCACCGTCACTCAAAAGTAATAATCCCAAATGCATATTTTATGTTCATGCTTTGATGTTCTACTGAAAGGCACTATGGAATTTACAATCTGTCACAATTACACAAACCCAGGAGAGTTTACTGCTATTTTAGGACCTGGAAAGCTTCAGGCATGGAAAACTCAAAAAAGGAACCACAACAAACTTGTAAAAAATATGATTTGTATCAAGTTTAAGACATAAATATATATATAAAATGTATCTCCACAATATAATCATGTAGCTCATGGCTTATTTTAAAATATTAAGTTGTCTCGCTGTATTGTGGCTTTTTTTCAAAGTGCCAAAGAAAGGGTTAGTAACTTTTCTGTGATGAGAACAAATGGTGAATCAGGACATCATAGTCTTTTTCTGACTTCTTCTGTGAGGAGAGATATCTACCCAGTTTAGGGTATTTCTCTCCGTCTGTTGGCACAGCTGTGTTAACAGCGTGTGAACAAAAGCAACCAGTCCTTCACCCACTTGGTTCCTCCTTCCACTGACCCTTCCATCTCCAAAAGCTTTCCACTAGTGCTTGCTTTAAGGCAACTAGCACAGAAATATAAAGAAATTTGTACCTACTTCTATTTTTTAAAAAAATCCATTCCATCAGATTTAATTGTTGGATTTTTTCATTTGTTTGATTTTTTTTTCCCTGTGAACAGAACAAAATAATCTGAAATAAGTTTCCCAGTGAAACTGGGCTAAAGAGACGTATTAGCCCCTTAACGCAGTATAGTTTAGTACTAATTACTCACTGCTGAGGCGTCTGGACTGCATTCAGTGCACACATTAATTCTCATCATTTTTGTGCTCTGAAGGCACAACACCACAGGCATTAAGATTTAGATATTTCTCTTCTCCTGTTTTGTCTGTTCATGGACTGAGAGTAGGACCAATATGCTTGTTGAGTTACAAGCCATTGAAAATAATCACAGCATTTCTTCCACACCTCTTTTTCTTCCAGCTCAAGTAGGTTTTGGAGCACTATCCATATGATTAGGACCCAGGTATTATTTTAACTCACCTTTTTATTCTGCAAAATGATAATCTCACTTCAGATTTTACTGAAGTATTTCTACCTGACATTTTAAGAACATGAACTTCTGATGGCCATTTTCTGACAAGCATATGGAAAGCTTAGTTTGCAGACTTTTATTTGTGTTAAATTGGGAAAAAAATCAGCAAATGAATATAAATGTGATAATAATTTAGTTAGAAGTTGATGTGGTAGACCTGAAAAATAAGGCAACTGAAGAGGCCTCCTTTCCTTAAACATGGGGTGATGAAAGATTGTCAAAACCATTGTTAATATGAAACCCTGTATTGGCTTAATATAAAATATAATGCTTGATTTATAGGTTCATTATATATCCAAGCTAAAAGAACAAAGGAATTAAATTACAAATATTCGTGAAAAGGAAATGAAGTTAACAATTTGGTGGTACTGCTAAGATATTAGAAAGCCCAATTTTTGAGAGTTTTAAAAGAGTCCTCCATTGATGAAGCCAAGCTGTGATCCCATGAGAAACTTGAACAGAGAGAAAGATGAGAGTTGATGAAGACCCTTTTCCCCCAGGGAGAGAAGAAGAAAACCTCTGTTCCCAGAGATGATCACAGAAACAGATGAAGAGAACCTTTGCCTTTGAAAACTCATCCTTAAAATAATGCCCCACGAGTTCATGGCCCATGGACACACCTCTAAGAGGACTGTGAAAATGGGAGGAATTTCATGATGCTGAACTTTTTGCCTGGGCAGCTGCTATTCATGGAAATGAAAATGCCATGAGAGAACTGTTTCTTGTGGAGAAGTCTCCATGGCACAGCAAGAGAAAACTCCTCTCCCTACAAGAACTGATGAAAGAATATTGTGTAGTTGGTACTGCTTTAATATCCCAGGTTTTGTCTCTCCATTGTCAGTTGGGAAAGGAAAAAGTTGGGCAGGGGGAGGAAAAGTGCTCTGGAGATTTTATTCTGATGCTTCTTATTCTTGTAGTCCAGTTAATAAAGTTTCTTTTAAGTTTTAAGCCTGTTTTGCCCTTCTCCTAATCCATATCTCACAGCAAGAGATGAATAAGTACACTGGTGATTTTAGTCAGCATTAAAACCCACGACATTATTTGGTGCATTGGCTGGGAAACTCAAATTTGCGAAACCAAACCACTGCAAGACCTCAAAGTGATTTTACACCTAAAACATTAAGGAGCAAGAACTTCATAGCACGGGATATAATCCTTTGGTAAATAAACCAGAAACCAGTCCCACCCAGAACATCTCTTTTTTTCAGGGACGCAATTTGTTCACATATTTTGCAACAAATATAATTTTCTGTCTTGTTGACATTTCTATAAGCTCTATTCTGAAAGCAGTACACAGTCTTACCTTTTTTGTGTAAGAAGGCATACAGTAAATCTCTCCTTAATTTTCAAAGTCCTTTCACTTATTATATTTATAAAACCTACACTGAGCTCTGACTGAAATCTGTGGGATCTTTACCATTTCTTAAAGGAAAGCAGGATTAGATGATTGATTCAGTCTGATTAATATGTATGATGCCTCAGCAGTTACCAAGCTTCTTCAGACTTGTTTTTATAGCTGACTGTAGGAACAGAACAACAAAGATCTGCATTTCTTTGTACACCACTCCACAAACATTACGTCCATCAAGTTTTCCTTTTCCACTGTCAGATCTAAACAAGGCCCTTTTGATATGAGATTACTGAGGCTGACATTAGCCAATCAATTATAGAACCAACCTCAACATCTTAAAAACAACTTTAAAAAATGAAAACAAAGCATAGCTTCAATTCTGAATAGAATAGTGATAATTCTGTTTTGTGTGTATGCCCAAAAGCACAATTCCAACCTGCTTTCACAGAGGGGAATTTGGTGATGTGTGTTACTGCCCCAAGGCCTATTTTCACATACTGTACATCTCTGACTATGTGTTGTACAAAAATATTTAGTTCTGCAGTGCCTTAGGGGACTTACTTTTAATGGAGTCAGTGGGGAATGTTCTGTATTTCTCCATTAAAAGGGGCATGTTTTTTCTGAGTTTATAAATAGCTGTGGGTCTCCTTTACTTAATATTACATAGTCATATGCTATCTCTCTGTTTCATTCTTCTGTGTATTCCATTGTTATTAAAGTAGTATAGATGCAAGCATACAGTATGATACAGAATTATTAAAGATTACATTGATTTAGAATTTCTAACCAGTATCACTTCATCACCCTACTGACCCTACAAGATGCCTTCAAGCAAAAATGAATTTGAGCCCTAGAATTTTCCATTAAAATTTACTCTGATAAAGTAGACTATAGTCATTAGTCAAGTTTCTACATATTATTGAACAGGTGGTGCTTTCAATCTGCTCAATATATTCTAACACACTGAGGACCACACTGCAAAACTCTCACCCACACTGGGAACACATTTTTTTCTACAAAAGCTTTTTTTTCCACTGGAATTTCTTGTGGAATATCAGGCCACAGTGTTTCATAACTTAAGTGGAGAACGGCTTGGCGTATATGACATGCTGGTATTTGGATTTTTTTTGTTAGCTCTGTGAAAAATTGTATATTTTCTTGATTGCTCTAAATTTATCATTATTCCCTTTTCCCTCCTTCATTCTTAAGGGTAGACAAAAATAAGGACCCCTACATGGAATTACAGTGGCTACTTATAGGTAAGCAGCTCTGCACCTATCAGCTAAGGGAGAATATATATGCTACCCACTTATGGGTATCTCTTACTATCTCTTACTATCATGAAGTGCTGTTGTGGTTTGGCTTTTTTTGTTTTTTGATGGAATTCCTTGAACTGTCTTCTGCTGGGGAGTATTTGTGTAATTTTCAGTTTTGCTTTGGCAGCTTCTCAGGTCACATTCAGGTGGCTGTGTTTTTTGGGGTTTTTTTTTGTTGTTTTTTTGGGTTTTTTTTTTGGTTTTGTTTTTTTTTTTTTATGAAAAGGGATAATAGTAAGTTATTGGTAGAATATGGTTTTATCCTTGATAATACGTGTAATGCTTTTTCTTACCTCTCTTTTTCAGTTCCTCGATTTTTACTTTTGTTGTTACATTTTGGCAGGCAAAGAAAGGGATGGCATAATTGCCAAATCTTTGGAGTAGCAGAGAGTAGAGGAGAAGGTTAATGTAAGACATTCAGAAGGAAGTTTAGAATAATGAAATCTGAAAGAGAAAGGCAGAAAAAATAAACACATGAATCTTGCTAGTGCTACTACTGGTATTAAATATGAAACATATATGAAAATTTGAGAACTGAGCTGTGAAAGATGTGTGCTAAACAATTCCTACAGAAAAATAGCTTGTAATTTTGTGATTGGAGAAAACCTCAGGATGCAGCATTATGAGGACATAATACTGGAAGTGCAACCTTTCTCCTCTTAGAAATACACATTAAGGAACTAAGATAGGTAAGATGGGGAAATGTGGTGAAGTTGCCTCATCAAGAGAAGGATTATGTGTCTGAGAGTAAGGCTTCATTTCCCGTGACAGGGGGAAATGAAGAACACAGTGTGAAATACCATGTTCTGAGCTGAGAAACTTATTACTGGGACAGGTAACATTTAATTGTGATCTTTTCCTTACTTGGTGTGATTACAAAACTCTTGAACACATTTTATTCTGTATAGTGAAGATGGATGTAGAGCAGGCACCTAATCCTGAAAATTATGTGCTAGGATTACATACACTGAAATGGAACCATTAGATGAACAGAGCAAAATATTACACAATTTAAACTGGCTTTATAAGCGATAATACACTTATTCATCTCCCCTTGTGTCAAATCAATAAACTTCAGTGTTATTAAGAATCAGCTACTAAGTGACAGTAAGGTTGTACTGAACCTAAAAGTAAAGATCAACAAAACATTGACTTCAGAAAATTTGAGACATGGATAAAAATTAATAGTCTGAAGTGTCCTATCAGTAACCATGATGAAAATCTGAAGTAATCCTAGAAATATTGGAATCAAACACTCCATCCTAACACTATTGCCAGTTTTAATACATCTTTATTGATAGGAGTTACTTGGATCATAATCAAAATCACTGCTGGTGTAAGTGTAAAAGTATTAAATAATTATTTTAAAAGGAATAATTAAGAATAATTTACTAGTACAAGCTATTCCTTAACAATATTCTAGAAATAAAGAAATTATTTAGTTAAAAATGAAAGTTTTCCTTAAAATTCTTATTGAGATCTTTAGAGTCAGTTGCATATTCCTTTTTATATGATTTTTATGAGGCTGGAAATTTTTGCTAACCTCAGGGTAGAGCTAAAAGATGTTCTGCATTCTTTGCCAGGATATGAGAAAAAATAAATAGTGGTGCAAAGACATTTGCATCACTTCTCACCTCCTACAAGCAGACCAGTGCCTGGTCTGACTCCAACCAGTAGTGTGTTTGGAAAAACCAAACCCCCAATTTCTTTGTTGATGAACGTGATTTGAAATTTGCTTCTGGTAATTTTGGGCCAACTGTCCTGATGGTGTTCCCTCCCATTCTCCTTCTCACTCTCATCCTTCTTACTGGTAGTGGGACAGAGTGAGAAATGGAGAAAATCTTATTGCAATTGCTCAGCAATAGCTAAAGGGTTGGTCTGTATCTATGCTGCTCAGTCACGGATTCAAAAGAGCATCATACTAGCTGTTTTGAATAAAGACATTTTGACTCCATCCCAGCCAGGATCCCCCTACACTCACTTCCTCAGTCTCACTGCAGAAATTATCACTGTGTAATGGCAGAGGTGTTCATTTAAGACATAAAAAGCATGAACACCAATGAAAATTATTACTGATGACAGTCATTACCATATAAAAGATATTCTCAAAATACTTAATGGTAAAAGGCAGCTCTTAGGAGAGCTGAATAACAAAAGAGCTATAAACACAGCCCTTTGAGGGTTTTAAACATTCTTCTCAATTTTCATTTTGTCCCTCTCATCCTTTCTTTCTTGGAAAATACATCTTGATGATATATGAAACCTTACGTGCTGTGTGCAGGAGGGTAAAGGATTAACCAATCTTCCAGAGTTACCTGTCCTTGATTGCCTGCTCCTCCCTCCTGCTGGAGCTCCTTCACAGGTAGGGGGGACTGAACAAAGTGCTTACCCATGCCTTAGCTGTAGGGTGCATAGTCTGTCATCTGTCTTTAAGCCATCTCTCCATGCCACTTCAGCTAAGCGGCAGGATGCTGTGCAGACGCACCTGAAGCACAAAATCCTTCCAGCTGACTCTATTGCAGCAGCAGTGATTTCTAAGAAAAGGAGACAGAGACTCCTTAGACTGGCAAGGTTTCACAAGTCCTTCTGTGACCCTGTATAATACATTAGAGTAATCATTAAGTTATCATCACTTTCTTGTTGATCAAAATGGTTTGGAAAGCATTATGAGCTGTTTAATACAGTGTGATTTTCAGTGCTTATGACATCTATTAATTTGTAAAATAAATAATGTATTTCTTACAGCTTTGCATCTCATAATTCATCAGTTGAATGATTAAAGTTCATGTCAATTCTCCTATGGTAAATAGGCAAATCAAATCTTTATCTATACTGGAACAAACAGGACTACTTTTGTCCTTGTCTAAAGGGATAATGTCGTTGCCTTGAGGTTACATCTATCATTACCATCAGTTAATTAGAATGAAGAAAAGCTTTAAATGTCCTCACCCTCACTTATCATTCAGAACTTCTTCAAACATTATGGCAACTGAGGTCAATCACTTCAGTCCTTCAAAAATACATATAAGAACTATTAAAAGTATTTTTTCAATAGGCTCAACAGCAGGAGGTAGTGAGTCCTTTCTGTGCATTGACATTTGAGACTTATCTAAAAAATACTTTCACAAGCTCCTTCTAATCTCACTTTCTCTGCTGAAATCTTTGTCTTGGAGAGGCTGTGCTCTGCTACTTCAGTTACAGATATGGCTAAAAGGTTTGATAAACAAGGAAACAAAAGCATAACAATACTTCATATAAACCAATATTTTTTAAAGCATCTTAATAAAGCAGCTATGTTACTTAATGTAATAAAATTTTTAATTTTGACATTATTTGTCAAAATAAACAGAATTCAAATTCTTGTTCTTTAAAGTCTTAAACCCACAACTTTACAACAGTTAAATCTGAAGAGAAGAGCTGTGGGCTTTCTGTAATCACAAAAGTAAAAGCATGTTTTCAGTATCATTTTTTCACAGCTTTTGATTTGTTGTGGATAAATGTTTTCCTTCTTTTGGCAAGCAAGGGAGTTGCTGAAGAAATAGTATGTGATAAAAAATATGGGTGAGTAAAACAGCAACCAGCTGTGGAAATGCTAGCTGCTGGGAAAAGGAAGCTACCATGCAAAATTAATTCCCAGTTTACATAGGGCAAAAATCACCTCTGGAAATTATATCCTATGTGTAAACTCTGTGGGTGTTCACATATGCACATAAAATACAACAAACCAGAGATTTGTTTATAAATGCCAAATCATCCTACTGTAACCCTAGTGGTTTATAAATAAATGCTTGATTATAATCCTGGAGTGGGTTTCTAGGAGCAGAGAACACTGAAAGTTGTTTTGAACAACCTTTGGCCTCTGTTTTGCAGTATTCAATAAATGAAATGTCATACACATCAACATCAAACAGAACATTTCAACAGAAACCCACTTTACCACTAAATCCACCATAAAAATCACTCTGATATTTGTATATTTTATTTCCCCTTTAAAATTGTGGAATAATAGCATTTTGCAGTAGTGGTTGTAACAATGATAATTCTCTAGATATAGATAAAGGACAGGCCACATAAAGTAGCATTGTTTTTTACCGGGCACATGGCTGTACCTGGAAGAAAAGGAGGAAATTTTCAGGCATATAAACTTTCTAGATGATATTCAGGTGTAGAAGTAACATAGTTCAAGCTAAGTAGAGGCTGAGAATAATTGCTCTGTTTAATTTAGTTATTAATTAGAAGATCCAAGAAGGATGTTGCTAAACAGCTGTATCAGCCCTCACATGTGTCTGTCTGTGAGCTTATTCTTCTGTGCAGGAGTTGTTTGTTTTCCTTCACAAGAGACATTTTGATGTGTCAGATAAAGCATTTCTAAAGTATGAACAACCCTAGCTCTTTTAAGGTTGGAGTGGACACTCCAATGGTATTGGATATGGACTGAACAAAACCAAGACAATGAAGTTAACTTTCCTTCTGTTTTCTAGTTGACTATTATGTAAAGGAAAATAACATTCATAAATTAAATTATTTTCATAATCTTCAAGTCTTTCCAGCAAGCAGAAGTATTTTACTCATCATATATTACTCTAAACAAGGTGGTAGGTTCTGCACACCTCTTTTCATTTGAGTTGATTGGTTTTTTGGTAGTGGTGCAGTGTTGCATATCCAGCCTGAATTTGCCTTGACTATTTTCTTCATTAGTTTATTCATAACATGAAATTTAGGAAAAATTCTTGATATTTGATAAGCAATTAAGCCAGAGGGAGACTGGTTTATGATCACTGATGTTAGGCTTATACCATTTCTGTACATGGGGTGTTTCTTCATTGGGAGTGCAACAGACAGCAGTTTCTTAAAACCAATTCATTATAGTAAAAAAAAAATGTTACAATTCTATTATTTATAAATCAAAAATAAAGAACTTGCTTCACGTGAACTTTCTGACTGCTGTTTTAAGCCAAATAATTGTCATTTTCTCTTTCAGCATCACATTTTATGCGATCAGTGATATCAATATTTGAGAGGAAATAACATAAATGTGTGAAGATAATTTAAATGCAGTAGAACGCTTGTGCCCTGAAGTAACTGAAAGAATGAAGAAGATGCAGTATTTCCTAAAAATACATGCTATCTAATTATATAGACCTAATAGTTAAACAATGCAGCAATTGAACTTTTCGAGAAAATGAGGAAGGACACCTAAACCAGAAGTATTGCAAAGGAGCACCTTGGAACATTTAATAGAACAGAACAGAACAGGTCTATTTCAGTTAGAAGGGATGTACAATGACCATCTGCTACACCTGCCTGAAAAATTTAGGGCTAAACAGAAGTTAAATTGTGTTACTCAAGGCATTTTCCAGTTGTTTCTTAAACACTGACAGAATTGGAGCATCGACTACTTCCGTAGGAATCCAGTTCCAGTGTTTGACCACCATCTTGGTAAAGAAATTTTATTTAATCTAGTCTGATCCTCTCCTGACACAGCTTTGAACCACTCTCATAAATCATATCACTGAATCCCAGGGAGAAGAGTTCAGGACCTCCCTTTCCCTGTCTTTCCTCCTCAGCAAGGCATAGAGAGCAATGAGATCATTCCTCAGACTCTTCTTCTCTAAACTAGAGAAACCTCAAGTCCTCAATTGCCGCTCATAGGACATTCCCTCCACCACCACTTTTACCAGCTTTCTTTCCTTCCTCTGGACACATTTGAGAGACTTAACATCTTCCTCAATTACTGGGGCCCAGAACTGAGCACAGCACTCAAGCTGAGGCCACACTGATGCTGAATAGAGTGGGATAATCTACTCTTTTGACCAGGTGTTGATGCTGTGCTTGATGCACCCCAGGATGGAGTTTGTCCTTTTGGCTGCCAGGACATGCTTCAGATTCACATTGATCCTGCTGACAGAGATCATCTGCAGGATCCTTTCTGCAGGACTTCTTTCCAACTGCTCCTCTCCCAGTTCACATTTATGCCTGGTATTATGTCATCCTACCTATATTATTTTAATAATATAAGTATCATTGATATGATAGTAATAATATGATATTAAACTTTATCCCATTAACCATAGTCTAATGACCCAATCTATCTAGATCCCTCTTGAAGGCAAGCAGCCCTTTCCCTTTTGTGAACCCATGTTGACTGAGTTTGATCATTGCATTGTCCTATAAATGCTTTTCAATAGGATCTGTGTGATCTTCTCCAAAATTTTTTTAAGAAAGTAATGCTGTAGTAACAGGCCTGTAGTTTTCTGAGTCCCTTATGCCATTCTTGTAAACTGAGATACCATTGGCTGGGCTTCCAGACAGCAGGAACCTTCCCAGACTCCCAAGACCTTGGCTGATGGATGATGGAGGGGTCCTGCAGTAATGTCCATTATCCTCTTCAGTACTCCAGGATGAAATCCATCTGGTTCTTTGGACTTAGGAACACTTAGCTCATACAATTTCAGAGTTCAAAACCAGCCAAAAGTTCCCACAGTTGTGGTGCTCCACCTCAGGTGACTGAGCAGCCCAAGATGTACAATTAACACTAAAAACTGCATGGAAAAAAGCCATAGAATTCTTCTGAATTTTCTTAGTCCTTATTGGCCAGGTGGCCATCTACAACAAGTATGAGGATAATATTTTCCTGAGATCTTCTCTCACTATAAACATACTTTAAAAAGCCTATTTTTGCACTAGATAATTGCACTGTTTTGTGAAAAAAACCCAACCCTATATGTCCCATGAGGATGTTTTTACTGAATGTTCATTAATCTTTCTCCCACTGAATAAACACGAGGGGTGATATTGAAATAACGAAATAAAAACATCTATATCTGACCTTAGGTCTCTTTTGTACTCAGTGGATACCTATTTGTTAAAAAAAAACTCAAACAAATAATTTTTCTAGCCCAGAATTAGATGCTTTACTTCCATTTCTGGCAAAACTTCTGTAGAAAAGCTGTCAAACTTGGATATAAGTGCAGGGAGAAATACAGAGCTAGATCCTTTTCTACTGCCTTGTGCTTTGGGTCCATTTTAGATAAGAACATTTTTTAAAAAATTAATATATAGAAGTATTTTTAGGAGCAAAGTCCTCAAGATATTTGATGCAGTCAGTGCACTCCTTGAGAGGATGCAGTACCTAAAGGCAGATCCTGATGTCTCATACTTAACATCATCTTGCTTCTCTGTTGTTCCATTATCATAAGTATATACATTCACAAAATTAAGATCCATTTAAAACGAGTGAAGTGTCACAGTTTGTCCCCTACTACCTCCATTCCTTTATGATCTGTAAGAAATCAAATTCCTTTTCATGGTGCTCTGAAGTGTCAAACACCTCTGTTATAGCAGGGTGTTTATGTAGTATGTGGGTTTCCTTAAATGATCTAAAATAAATTTTATAAAATATTAATGCGCTGTAAAAGTAATTTGTAATCTTTCTTGACATTTCTTATTGAAAGTGTCATGCAGGTAAAGGTCAGCTTCCAAACATTGCCAATAAAATTATCTTCAGAAGATTAAATTTAATAATTTGCAACAA